ATGCTGCAATGCATGCTGGGTACTAGCATTAGGGGTGGAACAGTACGTATTCGTATTGAACCGAAACGGTAGGGCTGTCACGGTTCGGTGCATGAATTTACACGGAGAATACACGGTATAAAAATAATTAAAACTTGCAAATTAATTAATGTAATGCAGAACTACTGTTATATACGCGGGTTCTTTAGGGACAGATAATCTGTAGCCCCGCCTAGGCGAGCTCCGGCTATGTAGGCTATGCAGTTTTTTGTCAGGTCGACGTCCAGTGAGTGAGTCAGAGATAGCAGCACTATGGACGAGTATGACGAGTGGTGGTGACCCACAAGAGTTAACTTCAGAATTCTAGATCTGAGCTGTAGATAAACGGGAGGGAAAAAAATCAGAACTATATAAATGTTCCATTTGACCAGCAAAACATTCATAAGTCATGGCAGCTGTTATCTTATCTATTTATCCAACCCATTTAAAAACAGTCTGTGGGTGCCATCTTTTGGACATTCATCATATTGCATCGGTTTTCATTTCTTGTCCTCAAACAGAGCAATAATCTGTTTATTTTTAAGTTACATATTGTACATTGATTAAAAAAGAAAATCAAATGTGTTTTTTAATGGTAGTATTATTTTATACAGAAATAAATTATTTATAGCCTAATTCAGAGGAGAATAAAGTTAGTGTTAATTATAATTTGAAGGAAAACAAATATTTTGATCTGAAATATAGCAAATTAATTTTAAATTCATTCAGGTACAATTACCAAACATATCTCAAGGTCTTTTTGTCTTTTTATTAATTTAATTAATAAACTAATTATATAAAACTATTGTCAATGCACTACAAATAAACTGGTTCTATGCCTTTACTTTATTAATAAAACTTATTAAAAAAAATACAAGGCTTAAAGGTGGGGTATGTGATTTTCTTTTTTGACCATTTTTTCAAAATCACTTGAAATCCTATTCCTAACCCACTTACAGCCACTGAGTTAGAAGCACTGAAATGAAAATTAAGCAATTTAATCATCTGTGGAACGGGCACGACTCGAAAAACTCCTGCCAATCATTTCCAAGACCACCTAGAATCATTGGACAGTAAATGCGTCAATCAAGCGGTCGTACCATACCCCCCTCCTCCATCCCCCTCGCGCGCGTGTCCCCTTCATGCGCATACTCAAAGCTTGTGACCCAGTCACAGTAAGTGCAAGTCGCCCCGTAAGGTTATGTATTAATACAAAATAAATAGGCCTACTTAATAAAAAATAGATGCCTACTTAAATAAAAAAGTTTTAACTTTTACTTTACTCTTTTACTACTCTTTGAAACTTCTTAAAACAAACTGTCTCAAAACATATAAAATAAATTATTTGCTAAAATAATGACAAAACTGAGAAATCAGAAACATAATAAGAGCAAGGGTTCAACAATGACAATTATTGTTGAAAACTGTCAAATATATTATTATTTCTCAACTGTCTCAATACAGTGTAACTGTCCACTGGGTTGTGTTGCGAAAGACACGCAAGCTCGCTTACCTCTCTGCCGTCGTGCGCGTGCGCGGTTAGAAGCGCGCCGTTAGGAGCTCAACACATCTGTCTCTCACGAATGGCTCAACTGGTAGATCTATATAAACTTATCTTTCAGGCATTTGACCGACCGGGTTGACACTGAGAAATCGGGGGTGTGGCGTGAGAGCGTGAGAATTGACTCATGCGTGAGAGTTGGCAGCCCTGCACCACAGCAAATGGTATAGGCCTAATACTAAACCAATTTTATGCAGCATGTTATTAGCATGTAAGTTAAACAACTGTAGAAAATTAATACAAGCACGATTTAGGCTAATGTTAATATAAGACTTTTAGTGCAGATTATCCATATTACAGAAATCGGAAAATTAAGCCTACAGGCTTACGTACCTTTATCTTCTTGCTTCTTCTCTTCTTCCAGGCTCTTTTTTGTCGTTTTTCTTGGCCAGAAAGATATTTTCGTTTCTTGTCAGACATCGTCGATTCGTCGGAGTCGCTAACTGACTGACCAAGTGAGAACGAGTGACATCATAGCAGTCGGGATCAAGACGCGCGCGCGCCTTTGCGGGGAGCTCCCGGTTGATTTGCCATAATACAGAACTAAATAAATAACAACTGTGCTTATCATGATGCCTGATAAAGAGCGCTGTAGGTCCATTTCTTTTTATTTATAATAGAAAGAAAAAAAGCTAGTGGGGGGGGGGGGGTCGGTTTGTGCTGGTTTGTGCCGTTAATACAAACATTGTATCTATTTTCCTTTCGCAGATATAACACATTTAATTCAGTAGCTGTGACGTCACTCTCCACCCCATTTCTTCTAAATCGCACAAAAACTGTGTCGTTCGTTTGTGTTCGGTTTGTGCCGATTTGTGCCGTTAAAATTAACATTGTATCTATATCCCCTCCTTTAGAAATAACAAATATAATTCGGGGCAGTGACGTCACTCTCCACCCCACCTCATCTAAATCGCACCAAACCGGTGTCGTTTGTTTGTGCTCGATTTGTGCCGGTTTGTGCCGTTGAAAGAAACATTGCAACTGCCATCCCCTCTTAAACATAAAAAAATAAACCTTTTAAGTACAGTTACATAACTGTCCACCCCATGGTCTAAATCGTTAATTTTTAAAAAAATATAATTTTTAGAAATATAATTTTTTAGTGGACTTGATTAAAATAAGTCCAGAGTACTCATAACTATTGTTTTTATAAATTTCGGTTTCCTCAAATGAAATGAGTTAGCTTAACTTTTTACAGTGAACTAGATCTGTTATTCAGATATCAACTATTCAGTTCTGAGTATGTATTCCAATTGTGACTAGTATATATATATATATATATATTAGATACTAGTAATTATTCATTAGGTAGTACTATTCATTATATACTAGTGCCTACTTATTAGATACTAGTATTTATTCCAAATGTTACTAGTAAGATTTTTTATTTAAGATTTTTAATTGAACTCTACAGTGAGAGACACCTATTAAATTCAATATATTATTTTAAATATTCTCATTACTATAGTAGAACAATAAAACATAATAGATGGTTTATAACTTTTAATACTTAATATTGCACTGACCACAAATGGCCAACAAATAAGTCTAAAAATAAATTATGCTTCTTAAGAAATGTACCAAAAATGAATAAATAATAATAAAATATATACATACACTCTTTGTAGAGCAAATTAAAATGATAAAACTGTCACACAACTACACAACTTCAAAACTGGTAGACATACTGTAGCCTAAGTATTTTCTTCCTCACAAAAGTAAACAAGAAGTGCTCCCAGAACCTTCCCAGAACGTTCCATGCTATTTTTAAGATTTTATTTGTATAACCATGTAAATTAATTAAAACGTTGCAGATGATACCAATAGGTAACAGAGACACCCTCTGTCTTTCTCGCACACTGTCGAGCGTGCTCGCGGCATTCGCTTCGTTTTTGTCCAGTCCGGCTCCTCATAAACACACACACACACACCAGCGAAAAAAACTTTGCAGGTCCTATAGTGGAGAGAGAGCCTACTCGGATGAAAACCATTCTAATGAATAAGTACTAGTATCTTAAAAAAGGTACTAGTACCTAAGAAATAAGCATCTAAAGAAAAGGCACTAGTACCTGAAGAATAAGCTCTAGTATCTAAAAAATAAGTAGTAGCATGAAAAGAGACTATTAGGTTTGAATGATTAAATGTTAAAACGGCTTGCCATAATTTAATAGGCACTAGAATCTAATTAAATAAGTACTAGTAACTAATGAATAAGCACTAGTCAATTTAATAGGCACTATAATCTAATGAATAACTACTAGGCTAATATATTTTAAAAAGGTACTAGTATCTAAAGCAGTGGTTCTCAACCCTGTCCTGGCGTACCCCCAACACTACACGTTTTCCTTGTCTCCCTAATCAAACACACCTGATTCAACTCATCAGCTCATTATCACATGGGTTAATGAGCTGATGAGTTGAATCAGGTGTGTTTGATTAGGGAGACAAGGAAAACGTGTAGTGTTGGGGGTACGCCAGGACAGGGTTGAGAACCACTGATCTAAAGAATAGACACTAAAGAATAAGCACTAGTAGCTAATTAATAAGTACTAGAACTTAATGGAATATATACTAGTATCTAAAAAAACAAGTACTTATAGCATGAAAATAGATAGCCTACTAGGTTTAAAGGTGCACTATGCAGGAATTCCGTTTTTGTCAAACAGCGACCCCTAGAGTCGCTGTGGAGTACTTGTACTGTCGTAAATAGCACTCACGCAGAGATGGGTCTGCACTCACGGCCTGATCCCCTCCCCCTGTACATCGGATCCTGTTCAGTAGGATGGAAGCTGTAACAGTTGAAATAAGGTGTGGCCCCTTTAAGAGCTGCACGCCCTGTTTAACTGTCGGCAGTCTGTATTGTATGTGCGCCTGGAACACCACATGTAGGCCTATATCAGAGAATATACCGGGTTATCAGAATTTTATCAGATCTTTTTTGCCATAAAGCAATTCGTTACATCGCCAGACCTGATATCACACGACACTTCCTGATGCTGCCTGATGCTGCAGACGGCCTGCCAGCTCAAAGTTGCAAGTGTGTTTTCTCTGCTCACATGCGATAGGGGGGTGCGAAACGACCACCAGTCAACCCGAAAAGAGTAATATAACCATTCCAATGACTCTGAAGCTGTTTGGTTGAGGTAATAAAAACCTGCGTAGTTCACCTTTAAATGATTAAATGTTTAAACGGCCTGCCACTCAGTCCTTCACCACATAGGCTACACTTCGCAAACGAGACATCACTATTATGCTACTTCTTTGGCCATCTTAGATAGAAAACGATTTAAACAACGGATTAAAGGCATACGCAGTTGACATAACAGGATGGAAGTTTATTACAAGGAATGAAGGCTATTTGGAGTAGGCTACTGTATGGGTCGACGGACTGTCTAAAAACATAACGAAATGCTCTCTCTCTCTCCTGTGACACTGATGCTTGATTTTATTTTATTTTCAATCATCTACGCAAGAACTTCAGGTGAGTAGGCTTCATAAATGGTTATGTGCTAGGTTATTATATGATGACAGAGACTTAACTTTCACCGACAAAACGGGTAGCGCATCAGAGCTGTAACTCGCGCTTCATAAGCCTTTGTTTGAACACTATTCCACCGAATGGGTGACGCTGAATCTAATACTACATATTTAACTATTCAAAATGTGTATTGGTCAATCTCAGGCAACTTTCTTTTTTTTTTTTTTACAAGGTTTCTAAGCAGAAGATGGACGCATGTTTTCTCAGTCCTGTAAACTCATCATGTGCCATTTAAAAAGCATGTTTAAAAGCATGTCAATTAATTCCTTTGTTTTCCTGTTGGTTATATGTTCAAATAATTGATATTTGTGTCCAAAAAAAATCACAGGCTATATATTAAGGCAATGTGTATTTTAATAAAAAGACGAAGCCAGGCGTTTTTTTATAGTTTTATTTTATTAAACAATTGTATAAATGATGGACCAAACAAATGGGGGTGTTTCTGGCACCTGCATGGGTTCTCTGTTCTCTCCATCTTCTACAAAATGTAAGAAAGACAAAGACTAAACGTTTAAGTCACTTTCCTGGAAGTATTTGGTTCATATTGTAAAACTATAATGCTTATGTCTATAATATAGCCTAAGTAATTGCAACCTTAAAACTCATAATTCAGGTGAATAGTATTAGGCTATATCAACTAATATTTACAGTAGCCTATTAAATCAACAAAACAGAGGACTCTATCCTGTTACTTTAACTCACTTCTGTTATTTTTCATATAGCTTAAGTAACTGAAAATAACAGGATTAAGTTTTAAAGCAAAAAGTTATCAAATACATGGCATATGGCCACATAGCATTTATTTTTATTTATTTTTAAACATAGCATAGCCTACATGCTAATAGCATGAGGACAAATTCTAGGGACTTACCAAAAGTTCATATTTTTAAAATAAAATCTAAGAAATAATTTAGGTAACAGAGGTATGTTGAGATTGACCACTGTTACAATTTCATCAAATATACAAACAATTTAAAGGAGAGGATTTACTTATGGTCTTCCCATTGCCTTCAGAAGATCCAGATGATGCAACTTCCTGTTGAAAATGTGTCTTGTGGAATTTTTAAAGTTTTTCAGGGATGTGTTAAGGTAACAGGACTGAGTGAAAACCCAGGCACACGACTAAAATGTATATTTTATCTAAAATATTAATTAAAATATTTTTTTCTCATGAAAAAAAAATTCAAAGCATAGATTGGATATAAAGTCATACAACAATGCAAAAAAAATAAATTTGAAGTATTTCAAATTTCTGAAAGATTATAAACATTATATGTCATGGTAAAGTTTAGAGATAGAGAGTGGGGACATGCAGACAATGCGATTTTTTAGTGTTCTATGTAGTTTTTATTAATGTTTTTAATTATACATTTTAAATTTGTAGTTAGCTTAATGTGCAGGACATTTTGCTTAATAATAAAATGTATTTTAGAGTTAATTTTCATGCATTTTTATACATATAATGTCCTGGGGACAGAAATGTCACCCTTTCGGTGGAGTGTTGATGATTTGTTATTTGATACAAGTGATCTGTGAATTATTTTTTGTATATTAAAACGTTTTTTTGTCAAAAAATTTTAAGCGAAGATTTGATTAGATGGATTAGATTTGTACTGTAATAAAGACCGTCTTCCATTATTCATCATAACCTGGTGGAAACATTTAATCTGAGCTCATAATCTATTGCTATTATGACGTACCTTCAATTAAAAGTATAGGCCTGTATATTATTCATTAGCATTATGTGGTGTTTGACTGGGATTCTGTTTGCTTATACAACGAAATTAGTTACACACATTTATATGGAATATTTAACTATTATAAATGCTCATAAATTAAAGTATTTTCAATTACACATAAAAAAAAACATAAATAAATTATCAGATCAGGTAGAGGTACATTTTATTTGCCCAGTTTTCAGTCAAAACAGCCAGCATGTTTGCTCTAGAAAGTGTATGATCAACCTCAACAATAGAAGAAAAATAAGCATATTTGTATGATTATATTGGTGATTTGAAATGTTGCTGAATCGTAAGCTCAATCAACAATTTAGATTTTGGAATTCCATCCTCAAGTAGAAAAGAGCTGTGAGTATTGCATACCTGCATACAGCTTATGATTCTTACACATTTTGTTCATCGTGATAATCTTCACAACGAACAACTTGCATTTTGAAGCATAAATAAAATCCTCAGAAGTAAAAAAGCTAATCATAGACTATAAACGAACTACACCGCGGTCGCATGACTTCAACGTCACCACTACTAAGCTTCTGACAACTCTCAAGTTCAAATGATCTATCCAATCAGCACGAGAGGAGGCCTATATACAGCGTCTGGTTTTGGTTTTATTTCATGCCTTAATTTGCAGTCTGTTATGTTTTCTGTCTTGTCATGGGATTCCCTGGCCCTCCTGTGATCCTGCCATGTGCTCCCCTTGTCAGGTTTCCTTTGTTCTCATTGGTTCTTTGTGTTCATTGCTTTCAGGTGTGTCTTCTCATTAGTCCTTGTGTGTATTCAAGCCCTCATGTTTGCCATGTGTCTTTGCAAGTATTGTGTTTCTTGTAACCACTGTTGGTAAGATCACTACAAGGTACCACGGTTGGTAAGGTTGCAACATTATGGGAATTTGAAGATAGCATTCTATACGCGTGTTGTGTGTTCTTAAAGCTTGTTAGTCAACATTAGAGCTGAACAACACAAGGACACTAGACCAGAAAAGTGTGTCTGCGTGTGTTCAGCAATTAGTATATAAAGCTTACAAAATGTTTAACATTAACTAGCGATAAGACCCAGAATCTGCCCTACCTACATTTACAGTCAGGAGCTGCTACTGCATATGAGAAAATAAAGGGCAGGGCATGCATGATGTTAAAAAGAGTTAAGTGCAATAACCCGTAAAAAAAAAGAACTCGACTGATACACACCCGAAGCACACACAGAACGCCTCTCTCAGACAGCCTGCGATCATGAATTCAGTTCTCTTTCACAGCTTATTGCACCGTTGTCACGGTCAGCACTAGTAGATCCACAAATAGTGATGCAGAATGAATGAACTGGAACAGGCAAAAGTGACAAAGAAAATGATGAAACTAAACAGAGCAAAACAATAAAATTAATCATGACACGACTGACAATGGTCAAATAGCTACACACACGATTATGTCAAAATGCCCATTGTGTGGAGTATTCATGAAAACAGTCACAGACTGTTTATTATAGCAGGTGGATAGTGGCCACGGATTTTGCCTATACCAAAGAAGACAGTCGGTACTTTTTTATGTGAGAGGAGGGTACGTCGCCACCACAGACGTGACACTATCATTCATATACGTCACCACCACAGAAGCGAGTCGTTGATAAGTACATAGGCGCCGAGTTATGTTTTTGCCAGTGGGTGCCCAGTGGCCACACTCCATTTTCCCTCATTAAGATCAAAGGTGCTCATCAATGATTGTATATCAAGAGCAGGGACACGTTTGTGTGCATATTAGTGATTTCGCTGTAAAGAATATAATTTTTGCAATGGCCTTTAGAGATAGATTGACTTGCTTGTCTGAAGACTGTGCACGAGACACAAGAGAACGTTCTGCCACTGGTAACAGCAGCAACACTCTGATTTGAAAAACAACACATTCCAGCGCCAGATCGTTTTTTATTCAACTCAAATTAACGTCAACTGGATGTTGTATTATCCGTCCAGCAAGATGTTTCAAAAGGAAGGAAATTTGATTTTTTAGATTTCCCTAATTTGATGTCGAGACAGAGTTAAATGCAGAATTAAAAGTCAAATAAGGACACTGAGGTTGAAGTCATAGTTTTGAGCTTAATATTTTATTAAATAATTCTTGGCTATGATAAAATACTCAAATAATTTGACGTATATAACTCATAGTCTCATTTTGTAACATGGTTTCTCTTTTTGTAGCGTCCAAGCGCAGAAAGAAGGCCTTGACTAATGGTCTGAACCTGTTTAATTTGCTTTACCTCACTTCAACAGCAGTGTAACAACAAAGTCCCTTTTAGGCAAGTCATTTCACTCAGTGGTCATCTTTGAAATGCCACAAAAAAAAAACCCACAAAAGTTATCAAATATAAAACAAACTTACAATTATTATGCACTATTGCCATTTCTTGGAAAATAACTAAAAAAGCAATAGCTATAAAAACATCTAAGGCAAACAAAGTTATTTTAAGGTAACGTACCTTGTTCAGATGTAGCTTATTACACGTAATTTTATACATTTCTGATATACGCCACCGTCACGTCCCCGCGTGTATATGTACTGTCACTCGCAGTGATGTCTATTGTCAGCTTAGCAGTCTCTGCTGCGTTCGAAACCACGTGCTTCCCTACTATATAGTAGGGAAAAAGCAGTAGGCAAGCGAATATGTACGAATCCTTAGTATTCTTAAAAGAGTATACGAGAATTACCTGAGTGACGTACTAATAGTGCGCTTATACTAGTGCGTCCGAATATGCCTACTTGCCTACTTTACAGTAGGAGAAAACAGTAGGCGAAAGGAGTAGTATGTCCGAAACCTCAGTATTCATAAAAGAGTAGGCGAGAAGTTCCCGGATGGCCTACTGCTTCTGTCTAGATCAGGGCAGTGGTGTAGTCTACGTGATACGCAGGTATACGCTGTATACCCTACCCACTAGAAAATGTCAAGGATTTCCGTATGCCCACTAGGAAATGTCAAAGATCTCCGTATACCCTCTTTAAAAAGCGTGAGGATTCGTAACAACATCGTTTTGTAAAAGAACTTTCATTCATTTTTGAATGAACAAATCAAAAGTAATAATACAATGAATCAAATCTCGATATGTACTAAGCAGTGGCGCAAAAAGTGGATATGGGCTGTATGCGGCGCATAGGGGCGCAGCACCATGGGGGGCGCCAAAGCGATGGTAAAAAAAAAAGAAAATTAATTAATTTAATTTTAAAAAAGATATTGTATTTTCTATATGTAGATGCTGTTAAGTGTCTATGAATATTAAAGCATCTTCTGCGTGTTTCTGTGAATGAGCGCTCAATGTGTGCTCTACTACACACTGAAGCGCGCGTGACACGTGAAGCCTTATTTATATACTCGACGCGTCCGCAAGAGCGCGAAGGTGCGCACGGCAAAATGACGTAATTGCGGTGTGGGCGGTCGTGCGCGTTGGGTGCACAAGACCCCATTTCGCCTGCAGGGGCGGACTGGCCATCTGTGTGATCTAGAGAATCACAGAACGGCCGGTACTCCAGGACGGCCGGCGGGCCGGCCCACCACCCGCCACACACGCAGTCACAGACATCCCAAGTCTCCCAGAAATTCCGGGAGTCTCCCGCATATTGATAGCGGCTCCCTGAGTCCCGCAAATTAGTTCAAATCTCCTGGAATCTAGAGCGAGCAAGAGCGCGCATGCGTAGCACGCGCACGGCAGAGGGAGCGAGCGAGAGACCATGCGTGTGTGTGCGCGTGTGCCTCACGAAGCGCATGTAAGGACCCAACCAATCAATTGTCAGTGCGGACGGGCTTTTATCTCTACTACTCCCGAATCGAATTAATCAGAAATTACTTTGCAAGTTACTTAATTGCTAGGGATGACGTTAGGAAGTGATATTCAGCGTGCAACATTTTTAATGATTACAGTAGTTAAAACAGCTAAACTTCAACATTTTAGCTGCAAAATTCCACATGCAGTAGCTAATATGTTGAAATATGTTGTGCTTTTACTTTTAAAAATGTTGGTAACGTTACAGTTGATGCTTACAAACTTTGAAGATTTTGAATACAGAAGTTACATTTGTAATGGTGAATTTTTATTTAGATGTGGTATTATTATTTGTGCAGTAGCTAAGATTAATTACTGCATAAATGAATTAAGATTATTAAGTAATACATTCATTTTAAGACAGCTGGAATAGATTGTATTATATGCTGTTAGCTATAATTTGGATGGTAGTATCATGAGCCACAATTACATTTGTGACACTCATGCCAGGCGGCAGGCGTTATTGTTGTTGTTGTCGAGTTTCCGCGCACCGATTGCTTTGGGCCGGGCCTAGTCATAGTCCAGGGCCGTTTTTTAGTCCCAGTCCGTCGCGCTCGACGAGTCGAGTATAAACAAGGCTTGACGCGTTGTGTTTTTAGCGTCTATGAGGAGGACATGCACACATTTATGGAGTCACGTCACAAGAATTTTACCATTTCATTTGATAAAACTATCGTCATTCATTCGGGGGTTGGGCTGGTATATCAGTATACTCACTACAAAAAACTAGACTACACCACTGGATCAGGGGTAGGCAAGTTCGGTCCTAGAGAGCCGCTGTCCTGCAGAATTTAGTTCCAACCCTAATCAAACACACCTAAACAAGCTAATCAATGTCTTGAGGATTACTAGGGCTATGGGCAGGAGAGGTTTTTTTCAGTGTTGGAGCCAAACTCTGCAGGACAGCGGCTCTCTAGGACCGAACTTGCCTACCCCTGGTCTAGATTCTGAAAAGCTCGTAGATGGACATTTTTCTATCTCAGGAGCCCACGGGAGAGGAAACGTCATAATAGAACATCGTAGAGATCAGTGATGCAGTGTTTTCAAATGTGAGTAAACACGGGTCCTTGTGTTAAAATCACATTTGTTGAACTAGGCTACTGTAAAGTAAACTGTTGAATTGTTGAAGGCGTAAAGACGTTAGGTTAGACAGTATAGTATAGTTGTGATTTTGCTTTAAAAACACGTTTTATTATGTATAGCTAACAGGGGAGTTACAGTAAGCACACGTACTGTACTTCTCTAAGTTTTCGCTCCTCCCTTAAAACTCATCTTTTCACCGTAGCCCATTCCACTGCGTATCCTAGCCCTTAACCCCTGGTCAGGACTCTGATTGCTTGCCCAACCCTGCCTAGCCTCATAGCAACATAGCCTCAGTCTCACTGTAGCACTACGCTACTTACTCACCCTTGCCCAATAAATGTACCTTCTTCCTTCAGCCTTTTCTTTTCAATGTACCATTTAGTTAAAAAATTGTTCAGTGCCTAAAGGCGCTATATAAATATAAATAAATAAATAAATCCATTAGAAAACTGCTCTAGTTTTCCACTATTGTCTGTTCTCGTATATCAGGCAGTGTAGCTATTGGATCTAAATAATTTGGAAGTCAATCATTGTGAATGTTATGGAGAATCTAACAATGTAATACGGTTATTAATGGCTTCTTGATACCAATCAAAATTCATATTTTACACTAAAATGTGCACATTCTGTAGCATTGCTTAAAATGTATTTTGCTTCAACCAGAAGAATGAAATGGCAAATAATAATAATAAATAACCACTTTCCCCTTAGTATTGGAAATAATGTATGAGCATGTATATGCATGTTAACATCTTAAAAATATATATTTTAGGGTTTTATGACACCTCAAAGGAATTTTATCAGCAAGACCATGCTGAAAGAGTGTCTGTGGCTGTTAATGAGCTCACCCAAAAAGTTCAATTCTGTCAACATTTACTCATCCTCATGTCATTCCAAACCTGTATGACTTTCTTTATTTTCTTTATTTTTCTTTATTTATTTATTTTCACAAAGATTTTTTCCTGGGACATTTGTTCAAACAGAAGTCAAGAGTAACCAAAACTTGTTCTGCAAAAGAAAGAGAGTCATTAAAGGTTCTCTGAGTCACTAGGCATTGCCAACGGCTCTGTTTTATGCTACTTGCCCAACTGAACATCTCCATGTACAGTGTTTGCTAATTCTTTTACTTTGTGCATTTTTTTTCTGTTAAAGGTGTAAAGGTTATTGGTCATGATACAACAGTCATTTATGGAGACAATGCCACTTTGTTGTGTCAGCTGACTGAGACTGATGATAGTATAACTCGTATTATATGGATGAAAAAGACAAGAGAAAACCCTGAAGAGAAGACCTTCTTTGCCATTTGGCCAGGTGACAAAACTGAACACCAAAATGGATTGGGGGACAGAGTACAATTCATTGGAAAAATTGCAGAGAAAAATGGATCAATTCAGCTGCTCAGAATGAGGTTTCTAGATGAAGGGATCTACACATGCGTTTTCAACTTATTTCCTAGTGGGACATTTGAGACGGACATCAATGCCACAGTTTTTGGTATGATGGCTTGTTCATATTTTTTCTCTGATTTACAGCAATGCCATATATGCATATCTCTGTGTTTTGATTCCCAAACAACTCAATTATTTAAAATAGTTTATGCTTGCTTAACAGAATTATGGCCCTGATATATCTTAAGCAAAATCGAAGAACGAACTGATATGACGTAATTAAAAAAAAAATCAGCCGAACCAAAGTTCGTTTGGAGTTCGTTTAGGAGTTAAGGCCCCAATATACTTCGAGCGAAAGGAAAGAACGAACTGATATGACGTCCGTTCGAACAAAATCAGGCCAAAACGAAGTTAATTTGGAGTTCGTTATGGGAGTTCGAAACAGCTTGCCGAAATGAACTTTACACATGTGCGCTGAGGCTCTGCCTTCTTTCACATGGAAAATCCTTTCCGCTTTATTTCTCCTGATGTCTCCAATAAGGTCAGACGTCCGTGAGTGAAAACATGAACACGCTGCTTTATTGTAGAAAATAAAGTTGTACTTCTGATGAAAAAAAGACACCAATACGTTTATTCTCGTTTGAAACGGGTGCAAAACAACTGAATGCCTGTGACAGTGAAATTTGTAGTAGAGAATAGCCACACATGTGTATCAGTAAATCAGTAAAAGCCAGAGAGAGAAATGTTTTAAGAGTTGCAAACTTGTAGACTTTTTTTTTCTCTCCCACAAACACAACACAACAGTTACACCTTCTCAAATTCTTCATTGCAGGTGGACAAATTCTATTCTACAAATCACAAGTTAAGAAACTCGTACCCTCACAATTTTGCTACAGTTGCTGCAGTGAATATGGTGCAAAACGCTTTTACACACCTGCATAAAAAAACGTGAAATCACAGAGAAATTTTGCTCATCCGCAAATCAGTATGTGAATTCATCCAATGAGAGTTGCACACTTATAGAATATTTTCTCACATATGTCTTATATATTTATATATATTCTTATAAAATCTCTGTGAAATAACTCCACAACCATATCAGTGTCCAAATAAACATGTTGCACCCTACACTGATGTTTCTCTTTGTCATGTTCTTTCTTTGACCTTACAGTGTGTGTTGCACTTTGTGGCTGGATGATACACAATGATGATCATTGATACAAATGCATGATCTATTTTGTTGCACTCATTCAACATTTTTTAAAAGTCATAAAGATCCATAAACATTTATGTTCTTAATTAAGTCAAGTCATCTTCATTTACATTATATAGCGCTTTTAACAATGTAGATTGTTCCAAAGATATGCTTTACAGTGATAATAGGAAATTAAAGTAACAGATATTGTTTTGTCTTCTTTATAGCAGCTCTAGAATAAAGTTATTTTCCAGCTAAAGTTAGTTTCGATTGATTCACTTCCTTCGCAACGATCATTAGTTATTAACTTAGGGGCCGCTAGCACGACACCGTTTTAACGGAAAACTCTTAAGTTCTCTTACGAGAGTACTCTCGTGTTGCGTAAGCTAGCTTACGCTACGGGAAAACCTCTTTTCTCGAGAATAGTGAAGCCAAAAATTATCCTTATATCCTTATAATTTGTAAACACATTTGCTGCAGCGAGCAGACCTAGGAGAGGCAGCTTGCGCGCCTATTGGCTGCTCTGCGGCAACTGCTGCAACCCATCGAGGGACTGCTCGTGACGTAAGCACCAATGTCGTCACGTCCCGCGCGAATGGGCGTGGCTTATGCCTATATAAGCCAGAGCTCGATAGGATGCTCCTTGATTTTCGCCCACGTCCCTCGGAGAAGAAGCCTGCGCCGTCGAACAGCTTTTCAGCGGGACAACCCGATCGCCTGTACCCAAATGCCGTTTTCACGGCGACCCAGATAAATCTCAAAAAGAGTATTATGTCTTTTTATCTGGCTCTCGCCGAAGGTGTTTTAAATGTAGGAAATGTGCCCACGTCCCAGTGTTCACCCCTACACATAAGCACGGCCCACTCAGTGACACACTCTCATTCAGGGCCTGTTTCAATAAAGGCGGTTCACACCGCGCCCTCTGTGCCGCACACACACATAAATCATTCCCCGTCCCACGTGACCAGAATGTTATGTGTAAATCATCCCGCTGCTGGTCTCAGTGCGCTGCCTCAGATAAACACTGCAAGCACAGTGTCAATTTATCAGCCCTATTAGGTCTCCCGGTCCCTAGCTTACAGCAACCAGAGCCCAGATACCATTCTACCCCTAACTATACGTGCAAAAGCATGGGAAGCTATCACGGGCGTGTCAGATTGGGTGCTTAACATTATAAAACGAGGCTACTCACTGCAGTTCGCTCGCTGACCCCCCCGCTTTCGAGCCCGGGCCGAAACTACAGTAGATCAGAAAGTAGCTCATCTGCTTCGAGCCGAGATTATGAAACTGTACTTGAAGGGCGCCATAGAAACCGTCCCTCTAGACCAGAGCGAGTCGGGTTTTTCTACAGCCGTTACTTCCATTCTAGATCTCAGGCTTTTGAACAGAGCTCTCATGAAGCGATCGTTCAAAATGATTACAACCAGACAAATTCTCGCGCAAATTCTCCCATCTCGGTTACTAACGTAACCTTGGTTCTCTCTAGAAGAGGGAACGAGTGTTGCATAACCCTGCCGTGCTTGTGCTACCATCTGGTTTCGCTTCAGTTGATGAAAACCAAGGAGCATCCTATCGAGCTCATTCAAACAAAGGAGCATCCTATTGCCCATTCACGCGGGACGTGACGACTGAGGGCGCCAGCGCCCTCATTGGTGCTTACATCACAAGCAGTCCCTTGATAGGTTGTAGCAGTTGCGCAGAGTAGCCAATAGGCACACGAGCTGCCTCGCCTAGGTCTGCTCGCTGCAGCAAATGCGTTTTAAATTAATACAAATTATAAGGATAATTTTTGGCTTCAGTATTCTCGAGAAAAGAGGTTTTCCCGTAGCGTAAGCTAGCTTACGCAACACTCGTTCCCTCTTCTAGAGAGAACCGAGGTTACGTTAGTAACCGAGACGTTCTCTCTACGCAAACTTTAAAAACGCGAACCTGTGAGAACGCTGATGGAGTGCACATGCGTATCAAGAGTTCCTTCTATAGGTATGCGCGTTTGAACATATGTGCACAGGCATGTAGTCGTTCCCTAAAAAAAAACAACCCTCAACAAGCTAATTGTCTGGCCTTAAAATTTATAATACAGAATTTCTATCCCTTCGGCATAGCCACGCGAAACGGAATTATCCCGACAACGTTTTATCTGTACAGAGGTAAAGGGAAGGAGGCCTTCACAGGGGAGAGACTAGTTGACACTTTAGGACTGTGTTGTTGTCGCGTCCAGAAGCAGGTCCTTCATCAGCCTAACATTGAATTATAGAAGTCTATGGTGTGTTATGTGTATGCTAGGTCAAAGAGATGTGTTTTTAGTCTAGCTTTGAACTGACAGAGTGTGTCTGCTTCCCGGAAAATGTTAGGAAGACTGTTCCAAAGTTGTAGTGTTAAATAGGAAATAGGAAAAGTCAATATTGATAATCTAGGTATAATCAACTGGCCGGAATTTTGAGATCGCAATAGGCGTGAAGGACTATAATGCGTTAAAAGCTCGCTCAAGTACTGCGGAGCTAAACCATTTAGTGCTTTGTAAGTAAGCAGAAATATTTTAAAATTTATACAATTTTTAATAGGGAGCCAATGCAGTGTTGATTGACCCCGGCTAATATGGTCATAATTTTGTGAATTGGAAAGTTTCATCAGGGCGTGAAGAAATATAGAGCTGAGTGTCATCAGCATAACACTGAAAACTAATTCCATACTTCCTAATGATATCTCCCAAGGGTAGCATGTACAGAGTGAACAGCAATGGTCCTAGTACCGAGCTTTGTGGTACACCATACTGAACTTGTGATCGATAAGACATCTCTTCATTTACTGCTACAAACTGATAACGGTCAGATAAGTGTGATTTAAACCATGCTAATGCAATTCCACTAATGCCAACATAATTTTCGAGTCTATTTAAAAGAATGTTGTGGTCAATAGTATCAAATGCTGCACTAAGATAGAGTAACACCAATTGCGAGATACAACCACGATTGGATGATAAGAGCAAATCATTTGTAACTCTAATGAGAGACGTCTCAGTACTATGGTACAGCCCAGTCTCACACCCAAGGCGTCATCTAACTGACGCTTTTGACCATGTTTGGCCATGCGTCAATATGCCGACGCACAGGGTACCCCTTGAGCGTCAATATGAGACGCGCCTCCTAGTGGTCTAATCCTAACCCTACCCCAGACCTAAACCTACCCATAACGGAAGCGTCATCTAACTGACGCTAAAGGGTGCGCGGCATTTGATGTTTGGGGGGTGGTGTGTGCGTCGGCATGTTGACGCATGGTCAGAAGCGTCAGTTAGATGACGCCTTGGGATGAGACTGTGTTGTATGGTACAGTCTAAATTCGGACTGAAAATCCTCGCAGATACTAGCCTGGGTTTCCCAATACTACCTTGCCGCAGCGCGATTTTATTCACGCTGCTAGGTAGTCTGGATACCATGGACCAAATTTTCCCCTCATTTAGGGAACCAATCACAGAACGGGGAGGGAGCAGCAAGACGATGACGACGTCTATGCGACACACCGAAGCAGTTTGTTTATACCTATGGATCCAACATGGCAGCAGACACGAAGTTACCTTCCGATGCAGCCTTACGGCCGTTTCACACATAAGTTTCACACCGCAAGCATGAGCGGCACTTGAGCAGCGCGTCAGCGTAACTATACATCGTCACTGCAGCTGCAGACGCGCGAGAGTATTCACACTGGAAGCGTTTGTACAGTGTCACAGCAGCGGGTCCAAAGCTACATAAGCGAGCAATTCTTTACAAAGACAACTATACATTTGTTTTTAGAAGTTGGTCATTTATAACATTGATAGACTTGAAAGTTTGTAATGGGGAGGTGTACAACATTCATTATTTTTATTTTTTTATATAATACACAACTTTCACCCAAACTGAATAATTAAAAACAAGTTTTTACCGGGTAGCCTAAATCTTCTATAAATATTTTTGAGTCTTTATTTTCTTTTATTTGCCTACTCAAGTTCTTGTTAAAACTCACTAGACATGCTTATTCTGTGCATTTTGGGCACTCATGAAATCATATTTATTTTTGTCCATCAAAAGTGTGCTTTCAATTTAATTTTCACGCGATGCTCCTGCTCCCGGTGTGAATGCACTCATTGATTAACATGCACGCCGAAAAAAATACGTGCCGCTCACGCATGCGGTGTGAAATGGCCGTTAGATACACGCCATCGTGTACACATAAATCTCTGTCCCATCGTCTTCTTCCTCGTCTAATTTCTGTCGCTCTACATACGTCATCTGGTATCATTGAAACGATTGGCTATGAGCTACGTACAGGCGCATTTGAAAGACATTCTTAGCACCCAATAAACAGCTCTGGGCATTCATAAACCACGCCTCAAATACGAGAAAATGAACATGTGGTTCCCAGACCCATGTCTCAATGAGACTTGGGTCTGACGTTAGCCAGGCTACGCAGATACCATTTTTATTTTTCTAAAAAGGAACATAGTTGTGAGGATACTGCTTTTTCTAGTATCTTTGACAGAAAAGGCAGATTCGAGATCGGCCTATAATTGACTAATTCTGTAGGATCAAGTTGCGTTTTTTTAACAAGTGGTTTAATCATAGCCAGCTTAAAGGTTTTTGGTACGTATCCTTGTGACAAAGATGAATTAATGATATTGAGAAGGGGGTCTATGACCTCTGGAAGCATCTCTTTCAATAGCTTAGTCGGTAAAGGGTCTAACATACATGTTGTCGATTTAAATGATTTAACGAGTTTAGAAAATTCTTCCTCTCCTATAGCAATGAATTGATCGAATTTTTCCTTAGGGAGACTACAATGCACTCCCTGATGGGATACTGTAGTAGACGGTTGCATAGTTATAATTTTCTCCCTGATATTATCAATCTTATAAGTGAAGAAGGTCAGAAATTCATTAGCCTACTGCTGTGCTGCTTGGAAACTTCTGGGCTTGAAGCTTTATTTTCCGTTAGTTTAGTACCTGTTTCAAATAAATACCTAGGGTTTTGTTTATTTTCTTCTAATAGGGTTGAAAAATAAGCAGAACTAGCAGCTTTTAAGGTATCTCTGTATGCAATCGTGCTCTTTTTCCAAGAAATGCTAAATACCTCTAGTTAATTTTCTTCCAGTTTCGCTCCATTTTTCTGGCTGCTCTCTTAAGCGCCTGGGTGTGCTCGTTGTACCATGGCGTTGGACTATTTTCTTTAATCTCCTTTAAGCGCAACGGAGCAACTGTGTCTAAAGTGCTGGAAAAAAGAGAGTTAAAAGTTTCTGTTTCAATATCGAGTTCTTCTTAGCTATCTGGGATGCTGAAGTGATGAAACTGATCAGGAATATTATTAATAAAGCGATCTTTAGTGGCAGAAGTGATAGGTCTAACATATTTGTAACACAGAGTTTTTCATTATCTACATGTATATTAAAATCACCAACAATTAGGACTTTATCTGCAGCCAGTTGGGCTTCAATTAGAGGCACTTCGGACTTGAACTCTTGAAAAATTAAACCTTTAAACTTTGTTGGATTGATGTTAAAACATGACATTCTGGCATTTTCATCACTTAAAACTGCAGTCGGTAAGTCTGGCAGATTGAGGGGACTTAGCCAAAATTTTGAATGTTTACAACTCTCATGCCCCTTCCCCACACCACCGAGCACGCTCCCATAGAGTTTGCGTGTGCACCAGATTTTCTGTGAACGCGCCCATCTCTTCAGCATCAAAGCATCATTTTCTTTTCCTTGGTTGTTTTTGACCTAGTAGTTTCCTGGTTGTTGACCAAGGAATTGGAAGCTTGTTAGTAGATTTTCTCTCTGCCATCACGCTTCGTAGAATCCAAGTTATCCAACAGACGTGCAAACTTCAGGCGTGTGAGAAACAAATAACAGGCTCCAGGTGGAGGTAGAAGCGCGTTTTTTTCTTCTGTCGGAGCCAGTGAATATGATAAAAAAATAAAAAACTTGCCGACTTCAGCTTTAAGATTTGCATGACAAAAGTTTGGAATCACTATGATTTAAGAAATGTTATACTTTTATAGCAGGCAAGGTCAAGGATTGCTTAAATTGATCAAAAATGACAGCAAAGTCATTTATAATGTTACAAAAAAAATGTTTTAAATAAATGTTGTTCTTTTGTACTTGCTATTCATAAACAATCCTGACAACATATGCTGCATAATGATTTCCATACTTCATTAAGCAGCACAACCATTTTCAAGTGTGATCGTAATTAGAAATGTTTCTTGAGCAAAAAATCAGTGTTAGAAAGATTCTGAAGGGTCGTGTGACACTGAAATCTAGAGTAATGAGCTCTGCCATCACAAGAAGTTTTTAAAACATTAAAATATAAAACAGTTGATAAAAATATTTCACAATATTACTGTTTTTCAGATAAATGTAGTCTTGGTACCTTAGAGTTACCTTTCCTTAGAACCTTACTAATACCAAACTTTTGAACAGTAGTATTAGTATATATTATAATATCAAAACCAGCACAAACATACCTTGCAATCAAAACATTAAATCAAATATTGTTACATTATTTTGCCAGTATGTATATTTGTAAATATATATTTTTTAGAACAACAAATTGGAATGAAGAAACGAGGACCGTGAACTAAAATGAGCAGTTCTCTATGGTTCTGTGTGCATGCCCGGGAAACTCATGAATATTCATGTAGGCTCCGCCCACTGCCTCTGCAGATGCATCATGCACAACTCACTTTTGGTTCACATTTCACATAGATCAGTGGTGAAAAATGGAGAGCGTGCGAAACTTGTCACTTGAAAGCGGAAAAAAAAAGAGAAAGTGTTTGAGATTCGTCGCAGCAGATTCAAGCAGTTGTAGTTATGTACTTGTGTTTGTGCTGCAAGAAAAATATATAAGACATTTGTGAGAAAATATTCTATAAGTGTGCAACTCTCATTGGATGAATTCACTTTGCGGATGAGCAAAATTTCTCTGTGATTTCACGTTTTTTGATGCAGGTGTGTGAAAGCGTTTTGCACCATATTCACTGCAGCAACTGTAGCAAAATTGTGAGCGTACGAGTTTCTTAACTTGTGATTTGTAGAATAGAATTTGTCCACCTGCAATGAGGAATTTGAGAAGGTGTAACTGTTGTGTTGTGTTTGTGGGAGAGAAAAAAAGTCTACAAGTTTGCAACTCTTAAAACATGTATGGCTATTCTCTACTACAAATTTCACTGTCACAGGTGTTCACTGTTCAGTTGTTTTGCACCAAAAATATATTCATAGTAAAGCTGCTTGATTTTACGTAATCTATTGAATAAAGTGCATTAATATAAATGAATGTGATGTGACTTTATTAGAGTGTGCCGAATTGCAGAGCTCGTGCAAACTATGCTTTTTCTTATGCTTTATTAAAATGCGTGCTGTTTTCTCAATTTTATTGAGTGTTTATTTTTGTTATTGAGAGGAAAGCACACAGCACATATTTACATATTCATCTAAACGCTCTCAGCATTGGCGTCAGATATAAACAGTATACCGCTGGTCACATTACCCCTAAACGAAGAACGAAAAATAACTTTGCCGTGAGTATATCGGGGCCTTTCTTCAATGTGCTAGAAAAATTTGTTACATTTATATTTCACATGCTTTTAATAGTTATGAGAAGACCAAGAGCAGACTGTCAGTTTTTTTTTTTTTCAGTATTTTAGTCAGTTTTTACAGTTGACTGATTTAATGATTATCTTTTTTTCTATTTCAAATTTAGCCCGTCCTGTGGTGAATGTGAAAGGGGAAGCACCTGCTACTGGTTATTTGGAGGCCACGTTGGCATCCTGTTTTGCCTCTAATGCTTGGCCTGCTCCAGCAGTGACATGGAGATTAGGAGATCTGGAAAACTCCCTGAAAACAGAAACCAACCACACAGTGCACCCCAATAATAGGACAATTACTGTTGTGTCCTACCTACTTGGTGTCCCATCCAAACATTTCAACAAAAAGAATGTCCAGTGTGTGGTGAAGCACAACACCCTAAGAGAAGACCTCGTAATGAACTACACAATAAACATTCATTGTAAGTATAGAGTATCAACCAACAGCTTGCATACAAATGACAGAATAGGGGATGACAATAATCATAACGAAGACATGAGAGAACATATTTTTGCTTTCTTCAAGGCACAGAAAATAAGAGTATACTAATTGCTGTAATGGAGCAATAATCTATTAACATGAACTTATATTTCAGTAAATAAGCATTTCAGTAGTTGTTCTGATGGATTCTGTGAGTTCATTCAGAAAATGAGTTGTCAGACTGGTTTTTCAATGATTCTATGAAAGAACCAACTCATAAGGTCCTTTTTGAATCAGACACAGGTTGTGATGTGTGTCAAGCTGCAATGGTGGAACATCACGAGGAACATCACTTGTTAATTTAAGTTGAGAACTTACATTTTCACACATTTCTGACATGACATGAAGGCATCACTATTATCGAAACTTTGCGCCTATTCCTACTCTGTAACCCACCGCTTAAAATGTATGTCTTAGATTGCCATGTTTCTGCCTTTGAACCCTAAAGGTTTCAGTTTCACATACAGTAAATACTGTTTTATGGATATATTGTTATTTTTGCTACCTAATTTCTTTTCCTAGATCCTCCAGAGTCAGTGGTTATAATTCCTGACAGTCCAACAAATGCTAAAGAATTCAAGTGTATAGTGGACAGTAACCCAGAACCAACCATCTACACCTGGACTAGGTAATATATAAAACTGCACTCATTTCTATATAATATTTTGTCTGGAATAGCCTTGATAATTTCAGCCAAATTTAGTGTTTGTTTATGTGTCAGTGTTTTTACGATATTTTCTATTTTAGTGCACACTAATGTCTGTAAGGCCTGGAATTTTTCTTCCTTTTCTTCTCATTTGTATTGTATTTCAGCACTGAATTTTGCATTTCCTTTTTTATCTATTTACTTTGACTTTACAGTACATGGAAATCAGACAGATAATTAGCAAGAAGGTAATACGTTATTGATTCAAAGGCATGTTGACAAATAGTCACTAAACAACTTTATCTTAGTGGCATATATTCTGTAAGCTAACCATTTTTAACGCCTGCACAAAGCTGAGAAGTTGCTTTTGCATATTGTGGCTAAACTGCCAAGTTCACAGGTTCTAGAATTTTACTACTATGTTGGGACATGCTTCTTATAAAATGGCTTAGTGAGCAAGAAAAAAACATTGGACGGGACAGGATTTTCTCCATCAGTTGTTGATTTGATTGTGAAAAGTGAGCACTGCATACTGGAACAGAGGCAGATCTGAGTGTGATTGGCTTAACTGCAACATGGATCTGTATATGTCATAGACATCAAGTGAGTCATATCACAGGGAGAGCAAGTTATACAATTTTGATTAAAGATTACAAGGTAAAAAAAAATGCGTTTTTGAGCGTCTACTAAACAGGTGCAAAGGTCATAGGCTTGATGCATGAAGGTTTTTGTAGGTTTCCGAGAGAGAGACCGATAGATGGAAGGTTGAGCAGTTCTTAATGGTTACTAAAGTGTTTGTGGGCAAATTTTCCAGATGTTATCCAACCTTGTTTTACCAGTGTGTTCAGTGATCTTTCTTATCTCTCTATTTTAACAGAGTGAATAAAAGTACTCCATATTTTAAAGACAACAAGCTTCCTGTCCCAAAACTGTCCCCTGACTTTAATGGCTTATACATCTGTCATGCTTCAAACCAGTATGGAAGCTCTGCAGGTTCTATGTATGTGAATGTTCATACTGGTTAGTCTATTTTTGTTTTTTATAGATTATGCTACATGTTGTTTTTTTATTATTGAGACACGTATCCAATGAAATGTTGTGTGCTGCACATGGTGATAAACTGAATTGCTAAATTTCAATTGATGTAGCGAACAGAACATTTAGCATTTGGCAGTAAAAATATAATTATGCATGCTACAATTTATCAGATACAAAAAGATTAAAAGTCTACATTATGTGGAAATTTAAAACTGATATATGATTGTTTTAAAGGGATAGTTCACTTTGAAATTAATTTTTGGTATGTTTTAGCTTATACCTCAAGGGCATCCAAGATGTAGGTGTCTTTGTTTCTGCAGTAGTTTCAATTTTGATATTTTTAGGTCAAACCGTTCTTGTCTGTCAGTCATATAATGCAGGTCTATGGTCACCTCCTCAAAGAGCATGCACAGAGAAGTCCAAATTAAACATGATTTAATGACTCGTAAATGTAAGTACACATTGATGGCCTAAGACATGAAACGAGCAGTTTGTGTGAGAAAACGAACAGTACAGGTCCTTCTCAAAAAAATTAGCATATTGTGATAAAGTTCATTATTTTCCATAATGTAATGATACAAATTAAACTTTCATATATTTTAGATTTATTGCACACCAACTGAAATGTTTCAGGTCTTTTATTGTTTTAATACTGATGATTTTGGCATACAGCTCATGAAAACCCAAAATTCCTGTCTCAAAAAATTAGCATATCATGAAAAGGGTCTCTAAACGAGCTATTAACCTAATCATCTGAATCAACTAATTAACTCTAAACACCTGCAAAAGATTCCTGAGGCTTTTAAAAACTCCCAGCCTGTTTCAAACTCAAAACCGCAATCATGGGTAAGACTGCCGACCTGACTGCTGTCCAGAAGGCCATCATTGACTCCCTCAAGCAAGAGGGGTAAGACAGAAAGAAATTTCTGAACAAATAGGCTGTTCCCAGAGTGCTGTATCAAGGCACCTCAGTGGGAAGTCTGTGGGAAGGAAAAAGTGTGGCAAAAAACGCTGCACAACGAGAAGAGGTGACCGGACCCTGAGGAAGATTGTGGAGAAGGACCGATTCCAGACCTTGGGGGACCTGCGGAAGCAGTGGACTGAGTCTGGAGTAGAAACATCCAGAGCCACCGTGCACAGGCGTGTGCAGGAAATGGGCTACAGGTGCCGCATTCCCCAGGTCAAGCCACTTTTGAACCAGAAACAGCGGCAGAAGCGCCTGACCTGGGCTACAGAGAAGCAGCACTGGACTGTTGCTCAGTTTTGCATGTCATTCGGAAATCAAGGTGCCAGAGTCTGGAGGAAGACTGTGGAGAAGGAAATGCCAAAATGCCTGAAGTCCAGTGTCAAGTACCCACAGTCAGTGATGGTCTGGGGTGCCATGTCAGCTGCTGGTGTTGGTGCACTGTGTTTTATCAAGGGCAGGGTCAATGCAGCTAGCTATCAGGAGATTTTGGAGCACTTCATGCTTCCATCTGCTGAAAAGCTTTATGGAGATGAAGATTTCATTTTTCAGCACGACCTGGCACCTGCTCACAGTGCCAAAACCACTGGTAAATGGTTTACTGACCATGGTATTACTGTGCTCAATTGGCCTGCCAGCTCTCCTGACCTGAACCCCATAGAGAATCTGTGGGATATTGTGAAGAGAAAGTTGAGAGATGCAAGACCCAACACTCTGGATGAGCTTAAGGCCGCTATCGAAGCATCCTGGGCCTCCATAACACCTCAGCAGTGCCACAGGCTGATTGCCTCCATGCCACGCCGCATTGAAGCAGTCATTTCTGCAAAAGGATTCCCGATCAAGTATTGACTATTGAGTGCATAACTGAACATAATTACTTGAAGGTTGACTTTTTTTTTGTATTAAAAACACTTCTTTTATTGGTCGGATGAAATATGCTAATTTTTGGAGACAGGAATTTTGGGTTTTCATGAGCTGTATGCCAAAATCATCAGTATTAAAACAATAAAAGACCTGAAATATTTCAGTTGGTGTGCAATGAATCTAAAATATATGAAAGTTTAATTTTTATCATTACATTATGGAAAATAATGAACTTTATCACAATATGCAATTTTTTTGAGAAGGACCTGTATTTATAGCGTTTTTACCTCTTGTAAACACAGCCACATCCAAGTGATCTGAGGATGCCGGCGCTTCGGTCTTTTCCGGCAAGCGCCGGAAGTGATCTCTCGCGCGTGTACGTCACTCATACAATTGTTTTATTTATTTATTTTTTTATTGTTTTCTTTTACGACGGTTTAAACATCCCGGATAAGCGCAAATTAGTACCATTTTAATTAGTCGTCTTACCTACAATCTCTGTTCTGTGTAAACAATGAGTGACGTACACGCGCGAGGATTCACTTCCAGCGCTTTCCGGAAAAGGCCGAAGCGCCGGCGCCCTCAGATCACTTGGATGTGGCTGTGTTTACAAGAGGTAAAAACAATATAAATACTGTTCATTTTCTCACAAAAACCGCTCATTTCATGTCTTAGGCCATCAATGTGTACTTACATTTACGAGTCATTAAATCATGTTTAATTTGGACTTCTCTGTGTATGCTCTTTGAGGAAGTGACCGTAGACCTGCATTATATGACTGACAGACAAGAACGGTTTGACCTAAAAATATCAAAATTGAAACTACTGTGGAAACAAAGACACCTACATCTTGGATGCCCTTGAGGTAAGCTAAAACATACCAAAAATTAATTTCAAAGTGAACTCTCCCTTTAACTGGATATCCCTTTATCATATTAATCTCAATTCTGGACATGGTAATCAGGGTAAATCTAATCTGTGATAACCCATGTCTGTATAAATGGATATAGTCTTTTTTCAGGCTTTTAAGAATAACAGTAACGTTGTAGAAGTTTGAACTTGACAATGTTTCATTAATCTCCACCGTTCTTTACTAGAATCCAGCACCGTCTGTTGGGGTCTGTTTGGTTCTTTCACCATTGTTGCTCTTCTCGGTGCTGTTGGTGTTGTGATACTCAAAACCAAGCCGTGAGTTTAAACACTTCTTTGTCTCAGTGTGACGTGAGGGTTTGGAGCTTTTGTATTTAATTTTTTAGTTTGTTTTGGTTATATTTTAATATTGCCCTACTACAATAATAAATTATGTTCAAACGTAGCTTGAATGAACACTTCTTCCAGTTATAAGCTATTTTTTGACACAATCTCAGCCAATCATATTATATTTGATTTTTAATGTGCAGTTATGAGAAGTAGAATTTTAAACCACTGAGATTGGTCATAACAGTCTGTGAACTAACAAGCATGATGCTCCAGAAATAGAAACCAATCGATCAACAAAATGTCCTGACAAAAAAAAAAAAAATTAAAGTTAAAATGCAGCATTGTTAAAATACAAATTATTGTGTTATAATATACATTCAGTTTCAGTTTTTTCATGAATATATATATATATATATACACTCACCGGCCACTTTATTAGGTACCCCATGCTAGTAACGGGTTGGACCCCCTTTTGCCTTCAGAACTGCCTCAATTCTTCGTGGCATAGATTCAACAAGGTGCTGGAAGCATTCCTCAGGGAGTTTGGTCCATATTGACATGATGGCATCACACAGTTGCCGCAGATTTGTCGGCTGCAAATCCATGATGCGAATCTCCCGTTCCACCACATCCCAAAGATGTTCTATTGGGTTGAGATCTGGTGACTGTGGAGGCCATTTTAGTACAGTGAACTCATTGTCATGTTCAAGAAACCAATTTGAAATGATTAGAGCTTTGTGACATGGTGGAAGTAGCCATCAGAGGATGGGTACATGGTGGCCATAAAGGGATGGACATGGTCAGAAACAATGCTCAGGTAGGCCGTGGCATTTAAACGATGCCCAATTGGCACTAAGGGGCCTAAAGTGTGCCAGGAAAACATCCCCCACACCATTACACCACCACCACCAGCCTGCACAGTGGTAACAAGGCATGATGGTTCCATGTTCTCATTCTGTTTACGCCAAATTCTGACTCTAACATCTGAATGTCTCAACAGAAATCGAGACTCATCAGACCAGGCAACATTTTTCCAGTCTTCAACTGTTCAATTTTGGTGAGCTCTTGCAAATTGTAGCCTCTTTTTCCTATTTGTAGTGGAGATGAGTGGTACCCGGTGGAGTCTTCTGCTGTTGTAGCCCATCCGCCTCAAGGTTGTGCGTGTTGTGGCTTCACAAATGCTTTGCTGCATACCTCGGTTGTAACGAGTGGTTATTTCAGTCACTGTTGCCCTTCTATAAGCTCGAACCAGTCTGGCCATTCTGCTCTGACCTCTGGCATCAACAAGGCATTTCCGCCCACAGAACTGCCGCTCACTGGATGTTTTTTCTTTTTCGGACCATTCTCTGTAAACCCTAGAGATGGTTGTGCGTGAAAATCCCAGTAGATTAGCAGTTTCTGAAATACTCAGACCAGCCCTTCTGGCACCAACAATCATGCCACGTTCAAAGTCACTCAAATCAACTTTCTTCCCCATACTGATGCTTGTTGCCGCCATGTGATTGGCTGCTTAGAAATTAAGTGTTAACGAGCAGTTGGACAGGTGTACCTAATAAAGTGGCCGGTGAGTGTATATAAAATAAAATAAAAATGGCTTAAATCACAATTTTATGTTTGTGGAAAGGCAGAATAATATTGCATAATAATGATCAGTCTGTGAATATGGTCTGTAATTTATAACCTCTATATGGTTTATAATGCACATATGTTTCCATAATCAATTGACTGATTGAGGGTCATCAGCTCATTAGTAAAGACCTGAAATGGGTGTGTATGTCAGACAAAGGGATGTTCAAAATGTGCAGTGTTAGAGGCTCCAGGATCAGGTTATAAACATTACAGCAGACTGCACTTACATTTGGTCGATCTTGTGCTGCCATATTAAATGTATCCTAATTTTTAGGGAATGGATTCAAGTACCAAGGCGTTCCAATGATGAAGCACAGGTGTGTTTTTTTTTTGTTGTTTCAAAATGCCACATTGTATGTACTTTCTCTTATATATTGATATAGTGTATACACTGTTCAAAAGTTTGGGTTTGGTAAGATGTATTTAGAAAAAGTCTCTTAAAGGGGTCATATAATGCCATTTTTGTACAAGCTAATATGATTCTTTAGGGTCTAAATTAAAAGTTTGTAATATACTTTAATTAAAAATTCTCATTAGTATTGTAAGAAAACACTTATTTTACCTGGTAAAAAACAGCTCTGTTTTCAGCACGCCGTTTCAGTGTATATGACTTTAAATGATCATGAGCTTTGCTCACCCCGCCTCTCTGTTCTGTGCGTACACCGTTTGTAACACAATAACACAATAACCATAACACGTTGTTCAGTATAAACGTGGGATTATGCATTATATTGAGAACGTCATACATAGAAAACATGCCGTAATGTACCCTGAGTGTAAACCTTAGACGCATTCATCGTGAAGCGTGCAAGCGATTTACAAGGATTAATATAAATATTAATATAAAGTTTAATAAAAGGTTACACTCACTTCAGTTCTTCTGGAGCAGCTGCAGGAACACGAATATCTGGTACCGATCCTTTCAGGAGCAGCTTCTTAGCAAAACCAGCTTTATACCTCCTCGTTTATAAAGCAGTCTGGTGTGTGAAATGATTCGCGCAAACATGAGAGCATTGACGTTGCTCGTGGGGAATATTCCCTTCGAAAACAAACTCAGCCACTGCGTCTTCAGCGGTTCGGATTTAGGAACATTAAAATGACTGTGTTCGATATTACACCCAAGAATAGAACACCACAATCGCTTAGACGCCATTCTGCTCATAGACAGTGCTCCAGCATATCAACAATGACTGCGCCGGTCCACGCAGACTATGATTGACAGCTAGCTCACGAGCGAGGGCGGGTCTGTGTTGAAACGCGGCTGTCAATCAACAATCGTGGGAGAGGCGTGAGAGCTTGTGACGTCACAGGCTCGAACGGCTCGATTTGAGGGAGGGGAAAACATATAAGGAGATTAAAACAAAACCACTGGATGGATTTTTATCATTATATGATGGTTGTGTACAGGCACTGCCAACACACATTTCAGTACAATCAACTTGTAAAAGTGCATGTACCATTATATGACCCCTTTAAAGCTGCAGTAGGGAGTTTTGAGAAAACGTTGATTTAGCCTGAAAATTTGAACACGCACAACTTACAGGTCCCACCCCCTTGCTCTCTGCTGTGCTACAGCCCTCCCTCCACAGCTCGTCCTCCACAGCGGAGCCTGTCGTGAACGCGCAGGCTAGTAAACAGGGCCACCCATAATGGCGGATAAAAAGTTATATGGCACATTCACTAATAGGGACTAAACGTCAATAATATGCTTTACATTGACTATGGCCTGCCCATACTTTGACTACAAACTTGGTCCTCAAATCATTATGTATTTTCCAATAGCCTACATGTAACTATATAACGTTGCACTCTTTCTATAAGTAATAAATAGCTAGTAAGATAACGTTAATATAACGGTAACTAACGTTACAGTATGTAAGTCATTATTCTAGCGATATATAATGCTAAGGTGTGCTAGTACATTATTTCAGCAACATGACAAGCCAGTGAATTAGCAGGTTTCAATTGTTGCTTAGCGGAGCGCGTGACATTTTATCTACATGTTATTATCGTCATCAGTCTTTTTTCTTTTACCTCTTTGTTTTATGAGCCGGTGTCACTCGAGAATTGGCAGTTTAGGTTGTTTCTCCGTCATAAGCACAGCTGCAGCACGTCGGCAATCTTGAGTTTGAACCGGTTTGAACAACGGCTCGCGCTCCGGCGCCCGCGCTGTGCAGGAGAGGGGTGTGATCAGCGCGTACACGAGCGTGATTGACACTGCTAAGACACTCCTCCCGGCTCTGATTGGTTGTTTCTGACCGGGAGCGTGTATTTCTTGCAAATGGCAATGGGACCACTGGGAGGAGACAGAGGAGCTTGATTTTTACACAGATTATCTGTCTCATATTCTACTGTCAGGACATAATGACAGTTTTAGCAAATACATGTTTTCAAAAGTTACCTACAGGAGCTTTAAGGCCCCAAAACAAAATGAGGCCAAAACAAACTCCGTCTGGAGTTCGTTTTAGGAGTTCGAAACAGCTTGCCAAAGTGAACTTTCCAGAAAAGTTCACTACGGGTGGTAAACTTGTACTACCATTTGACTGTGGCGATTTTCGTAATAAGTGTGCGGTGTGCGCTGAGGCTCCACCTTCTTTCACGTGGAAATATTTCTCCTGATCAGTCCGTCGAGGTCAGACGTCCGCGAGTGAAAACATGAACACTCAGGAGAGCTGCTTTATTGTAGAAAATGGAAGTTGTACTTCTGATGAAACGAGACACTGAAACTTTTTCATGTTTAATAAGGTAAAGCTACTTGATTTTAAGCTATCTATTGTATTAAATAAACGTGCTGTGAGTTTACTAGAGTTTCGAATTGCAGAGCATGTTCAAACATATCCACATTGCTATGATCAGATGCTTTTCTCATGCTTTATTTAAAAAATACTTGCTATTTTCTAAATTTTGTTGTGTGTTTATTTTGTTATAAAGAGAAAAGTGTGCAGCACATATTTACATATTCATCTAAACGCCGCTCTCTTATGTTCGATAAGAGTATAGGGATCTCCCACGTGACCCCTAGCCGCATGTCAGCCATTTTGACGGAATACATCCGTCGGCTACTCATAGATCCATTGCCGTGGGCAATATATTATTAGTATTATACTAATAATATAATTATTAGTATATTACTATCCTAATAATATAATTATTAGTATAATTAGCCTAAATATTGCAATACTTTGCGCTACAGTATTGATATAATTGCATGCGCAAAATCATGGTGCAAGAACAGAATCGATTTTTCCCACCACCACGTCATGTCATCGCACTTATTATTAGCATCACAAAAATAAATATACAAGAGGAAGATAAAGGAATTAGGAATCATATATCCATATGAAGCACCAGAAGTTCTTTTTACAGGCATTAAATGTGTAGAAAAACTTCCTGACATTGAGTTCGGTGACATTACAGCTACCTTATTCACTTCCCATCACGCTACACCGGAGCTTCATTAAAAGAAAATGATTTTTCAATCATCACCGCAAAGGTTGGTCAATGTATTTTTATCACCAAATTACAGTACCTGTAATAATTTTTAAACTGAGTTTACAGGGAAAAACACAAAACAAAATCACCAACAAGATTAAGTGTATCTTTAATGAATTTGTTTATTCTAGTTTGATCCAAGAAAAAAACGAAATAATAGCCTATGCTTTACTTTTTTATACTTATCACTCTGACAGTATCATACTGAGCATGTAGTATGATACTGTCATTGAGACGGTTGTCTCAACCTGTGTTTATAACGATTTATAAGAAGTGTCAAATAAAATACAAGATCAGCTTTTGGTATTTGAAAACGAAAGAATGTAATGTGATAATATGCCTAACGAATTAACTGATCTAGGAATGCATGTATGCGTTTTGCCTGTTTATTGCCGCCAACCACTTTTCTCCGTTTTGTTTCTTTTGGGATACGGTATAAAGATATTCCTTTTGTATGATCACACGTATCTGATCGCATCCAAATGCACAGCATCGCTCGGACATGATAGGAATATTTCGCGACGAGCTGCATCCATAGACAGTAAAAGAAATGGACACAGCGACCCCGTTGATTTCAACGGAGAGAGTTGAAGCCCAACATGGGCACTCACTTCCTGATAGCCAAGCGTTCTGCGCAGGCTCAAACTGAGCTTGACGACGTAGTTGTCACGTGAGCAACCGTTCTGGCCTTCTAGTAGCTGTGCCGGGTCAAATCTGAATTGAAATCTGAAACAAATCTGTTGTTGAAATATTTTGTCCCGTTGCTTTTATGAACTCTCTATCTATGGGCTTCTCCCTTGACTTTATGCCTCCATGTCCACTCGATTGCCTCATAGACAGTAAACGATTGCCTACGAGCTTCTACTTCTGTCTATACGGTAATTTCTCTACTGTGCGACAGAGCGTCCCGTGGTTATGACGCAATCGTTAGCCTATTTTTACAAGAATGGCTTCTACGGGGCCATAACGTAGGATACAAAGTAATGGAGCCTTTTCTACATTGTCGAGTTTCTTTAGAAATAAATAATGGACAAATGGAGTCTTTGGACGCCTCAGATGTAAAGTTATTCGCTGTCAAAGTGACGCCAAAATGAATGGGAGTCAATGGGATGCTAACAGCAGGTGATAGCCAGCTACAATGGCGGCCCCCGGAGGCAGCTTCAACTTCCGGCTGATGGATTACCCCCTTGGCTGCATCACCGGCGGTTTAGCATTTTCTATAGGCTATGTGCACAAGCGTAATTTCGAACTTCCGCTATTGTCAGAAGTCGGCATGTCAGTTTCCGGTTTACGGCTGTTCATCCGCATCCGCTATAAACGAACAAGATGAGTGCTGCTGTTGTACGAAAAAGTTGTTAAACACATCTAAGTTTCTAAGAACTGTAGGTGGATCTATCATCTAACGCCCGTTTCACACATACCCCGTTTGCAGTGCGTGTTGCGGTGCAGGAGCAACGCGCGCTATAGTGCTTTCACATATGACGCGCTTGCAGTGAATAACTGATCCGCGGCTGTACCACAAACACATACTTACTTTTTTTTTCTTTTCTTTTTTTGCGCGTCGCCCAAAATGTCTATTTTGTGCAGCCACTGCGCACGAAGGTTGGTGTTTTTCGGGAAGCGGTGGAAGCTCAAATGGCTGTTAGCGACTTGAAGCAGAGCAAAGTGGCACACAGCAGTGTTCCTAACGCATCATGTTAACAGGTTAGGGCTTTCACTTTTCACACCGTTCCAGATGCGGCACGTATAACAGCAGTGCAGCGATCGTTTCTGCACCGAATCTATTTCTGCTGTGCTGCATTAAAGTGACACCGCATGTTTCGTGGTCAAAATGCACAAAGATTGACCTGAAAATGTAGTAATTTCCCCATAAATGCGTTTCATTAAATAAAATGTAGTAATCTCACCATAAATGCATTTAATATACCGGTATACTATTTTTCACAGTCATCTGAAGACTGTGAAGACCGGGGTAAATCAAGGAAAACTACAATTAAGGCGACATAATGAACAACACTCGTCTCATTAGTGGAGGTGGAAAAATAAGTTCTTTGTGACATGCAAGATCTATTGTAGGCTATTACAATTTAAATGCAAAAGAAAAGGCATGTGAGTCGGCTGTTTTTGCCAATTTTAAGTTTTAATTTAAAATATTTGCCATTTTAATATAGTAAATTTGACCACTTGCTTGAGCAACTTAATATAAGTAATGCATGGAATAATAGCCCTAACTTGCGTTGTTTAAATTGTGTTTAAACGTGCATACATCCATTAAAGAGTGTGTACAAAGAGAATCGCAATGCTGACAACTTTTTTTGAAATAAAAGTTGCAGCACAACTGCTGGATTTTAAATCAAAATAGTAAGTATGTGTTTGTGGTACAGCCGCGGATCAGTTATTCACTGCAAGCGCATCATATGTGAAAGCACTATAGCACGCGTTGCTCCTGCACTGCAACATGCACTGCAAACGGGGTATGTGTGAAACGGGCGTTAGATGATAGATACACCTACAGTTCTTAGAAACTTAGATGTGTTTAACAACTCTTTTTTTCGTACAACAGCAGCACTCATCTTGTTCGTTTATAGAGGATGCGGATGAACAGCCGTAAACCGGAAACTGACATGCCGACTTCTGACAATAGCGGAAGTTCGAAATTACGCTTGTGCACATAGCCTATTCCGTCAAGATGGCTGCTCCAAATGGCGTGACGTCATGCGGGACGTCCCTATTGGCCTACCGCTGGTCACATATTTTGAACTGTTTTTTACCCCTAAGCGAAGAACAAACAACAACTTCATCGTGAGTATATCAGAGTCTTTATGCTCACCAATGCTACATTTATTTGATAAAAAATGTCATTGTGAAATATTACTATTTAATATAACTGTTTGCTATTTGAATATATTTTAAAATGTAATGTATCCATGTGATGCAATCATTTATCCGTCTTCAGTGTCACATGATCCTGAGAAGGGTCTGGTGTCAACCAGACTTCCAATCTGGTGCTTAAAAAGCATTAATTATTATCAATGTTGAAACTGTAATAAAAAATTTTTTCGGGATTCTGAACAGAAAGCTCAAAAGAACAGCATTTATTTTAAATAAAAAATATTTTGTAACATTATAAATGTCTTAACATTTACTTCTGATCAATTTAATGCATTATATGCAGAATAAAAGTTTTCTTTCCAAAAAAAAAAAAAAAATCTTTTACCCAAACTTTTGAACTGTAGTGTAGTTTAAATTTTATTTATGATCATATGGGCTAAATTTGTCTAAACTTTTCCCACAGGACCTCTAAAGATGACAGGAGGATGGCTGTGATGATGAGAATGAACAGGTTGGTAATATTTGATCATTTGTCATATTTATAATAAATATGTTTCCCCATAGATGTAAATCAGTAACTGTGTTATGTTTGTTTGTATTTTGTTTTGTGATTTCACAGGAATGGAGAGCTTTAGAGACAGTGACAGATATGTGTGGGCCAGCTCTCCATCACGAACCAGATGTTCCGAAACCACACTGGATGTGCCTTCTAGAGAGAAGAAGAATACTGATTGGAACAAAGTCTTTAAGGATTGGTAACGGGATGATTCAGAGTAAAATAACTGCGGACCTCAGCTAACATGACAGGAAATCACATAGATCACACAAGACTTTGACTACAGAAGCCACCATAAGGTATCAGATTAAGATGAAAGTAAAAGATGTGAAGGAAAGTACCTTACTTTCGATATTAAGTTTTAGTGATATTATATTTCAAGCTACAAAAGCCCATTGAAAACAGTACCTTTTTTAAGCATTATGTACAGCTTCCCTTCTCCTGGCATGTTCAGAACTTGACTCAGTGGGTGATAAATATCATTCATTGTGTGTTGTCTGTGTCTTCAGGGTTTTAGCAGCTGACTAATATAAAATTAGAGCAAAGCACAAGTATGCATGGTGCAGTTTCCCATTTTGCAGGCCTGGTCTGCTTGTTAGGCTGTGGATGATTAGGCAGATCTGGCAAGCATTACTTGAGCTGTACAACGTCACTCAGTGTGATTAATGCGCCTGAATTAGCTCTTTAAAGTGCTGAAAGTGTGCTTGATTACACACCACGTCTAGACATATGCTATTTTATTTAATATGTAGTGAATCATCAGCACAAAAGGCAGAACAGGATATCTTATTTCCACAGATGTCTGTTAAGGGGGAATCGGGGTGTGGTTTAGTGTTGGGCTAACGGTTAACGCTGGCAGATACGCTGGCAAGGGGGGGGGGGAGGGGGGATGATAATAGTGTGGATAGAAATGGACATTTTGATACATACAAATATGACATACCATCAACAGATTCAAGGCATGATTTTTGCAGCACGTACCTTGAGCAAATGCTATTCAAAGACTAGGTGCTATACAATTGTACATTTTCAATTGTACAATTGATGATTCAGTGTCCTCGCTCCTCTCAGGAACCTGACGATCAGGTCGTGCTTCCCTGCGGACTTACCTTACTGTATCATGGTGTGCGGCAATAGCGGCAACATATACTTTGAGGGTGGAGGGAGACAGCCTTCGCTCCAACCCAACTTGAAGGAAGGAAAGCACGACACCGATCGAACATCTCTGGAGTCTTCACGGCGAAAAGAGCACCAGTTGATGAAGAGGTTCCACTTCAACGTGTAGGCGTGTCTCGTGGACGACGCTCAGCGGAAGTGATGGTAGCCACCACCGTTGGTGGTAGGGTACTCATACCTGCCTCGTCCCGTACAGGAGCCACACGTGGAGGTTCCAAAGATCGGGACGAGGGTGCCATAGGGTGCCCCGTCCCTGAGAAAGGAGGTCCTTCCTCAGAGGAATTGGCCAGAGAGGTGCTGTCGCGAGGAGTAGAGTTCGGAGAACCAGGTCCGGGTGGGCCAGTGCGGCGCGACCAAAATGACCTGCTCCTCGTCCTCCCTGACTTTGCGCTGGGTCTGCGTAAGAAGGCTCACTGGGGGAAACGCATTTTTGCGATCCCGCGGCCAGCTGTGCGCCAGTGCATCCGTGGGAAAGGATGATACAGGGAAAATACAGGGCGCAATGGGTCGAGTCGTGAGAGGCAAACAGATCTATCTGTGCGTCCCCGAATTGGTCCCAATTCAGCTAAACCGACTGGGGATGGAGTCGCCATTCTCCGGGGAGGGGCTGAAGCCGTGAGAGCTCGTCAGCTGCACAGTTCAGGGCTCCGGGAATATAAATGGCTCGAAGCGACCTCAGATGCTTCTGACTCCATATGAAGAGGTGGCGGGCGAGTTGCAACATACGGCGGGAGCGTAGACCACCTTGATGGTAGATGTACGCTACAGTGGCGGTATTGTCTGATCGGACTAGTACGTGTTGACTGTTGACCCTAAGCAACACCCGGAAGCGGTGCAGAGCGAGACGTACTGCCAGCACCTCGAGGCAATTGACATGCCATAGGCGCTGGGGTCCTGTCCAGGAGCCCGCGGCAGCATGTCCATTGCACATGGCGCCCCAACCCGTGGTGGAGGCATCTGTTAAGACAACAACATGGCGGGAAGCTCGTTCCAGGGGCACTCCAGCCCGTAGAAACAGAGGTTCGACCACGGGGTGAAGGTCTGACGGCAGGTCGGAGTAACTGGTACTCGGAGCACGCCGTGTTGCCATGCCCACCTCGGGACTCGGTCGCAAAGCCAAAGCTGAAGCGGTCTCATATGAAGCAATCTGAGTTGCGTTGCCACGGCTGCAGATGCCATATGCCCCAGGAGCCTCTGAAAAAACTTCAGTGGAACCGCACTCTTGCTTTCTTTTCTCAGGCAAGTCAGCAGTGGCTGAGTGGAGAAGGCGACCGAGTCGAAACCGAGAAAAGAGATCCTCTGCACGGGGCAAAGTTTACTCTTTTCCCAGTTGACCCGAAGGCCCAGACGAGCTAGGTGAAGGCGCAAGAACTTCGTGAAGGCGCAAGGAGACAGGGCTAGCCCGAATGGGAGAACGGCGTACTGATATGCGCGCCCCCTGACAGCAAACCGTAGGTACGGTCTGAGTCGAAGAGAACGGAGACATAAGAGAGACATCTTCAGGTAGATCGCTGCAAACCAATCCTGTGGTCACACACATTCGAAAACGCGTTTGGCCAGGAAAATCTTGAACGGCAGCCTGTGAAGCGAGCGGTTCAGATGCGCAGGAGCAGGATTGGTCGTAACCCACCGGCTTTCTCCGGGACAATGAAGTATGGGCTGTAAACCCCGGACTTCATTTCAGCTGGAGGGACAGTCTCGTTTGTACCCTTCGCCAGTAGGGTAGCAACCTCCGTTCTCATGATAGGGGCATAGCCACCGACCATAGTGGAGCAGACTTCCCTGAAGCGGGGAGGAGACCGTGCGAACTGAATCGCATAGCCGAGCCTGATGGTTCGTGCGACCCAGAGGGATAGGTTGGGAAGCTCTAGCCAGGCTCCCAAGGACTGTGCCAGCGGGGTCACGCGAACCACAGACGTCCCCTCGGTGGTGCAGCGAAGCGGAATGACCGGCCCGGACGTGGACGGCATAGCGGCCCGGTGTGGGGGCACGGTCATAAACCGCACCCTGACAGAGGAGGCCAGGGAAGGACCAGCGTTCCGCAGGGGCCTTCTCTGCCAGGGTTCAGCGGCAAGCAGACTGAGGCGTCTGAGCCGGCGGCTGGTTAGCAGCAGATGGCCGCGGGGTCAGACAAGTTTGGTGGCCACAGTCCGCTTCTGGGCGGCCGAGAACTGTTGGGCAGAGTCCTCGACCGCGCCGCCGAAGAGGCCAGCCTGGGATATGGGGGAGTTGAGGAAAACGGGTTCGCTCAGCCTCACGCATATCAACCAGGTTAAGCCAGAGATGTCTGACCACACATGTGGACATCACCTGACCCAGGGAGCGTGCAGTCACCTTCGTCGCTCGTAGAGCAAGGTCGGTGACGGCAGGCAGCTATTGGATGAGCCCTGAATCAGCCCTACCCTCGTGCATGTCATTGAGCACCCAGAAGGATGGCAATAACATGCAGTGAGGCGGCAGCCTGCCCCGCAGCTCTATAGGTCCTTGCCACCGGAGTAGACAAAAAACCTATAGGCATTGGAGGGGTGCTTAGGGTCGCTACGCCAGGTGGAGGCACTGTGGGGACACAGATGTGTTGCCACAGAACACCCCACGGGGGGAACCAGAGAAGGCGGAAGAGGCCGCTGAGCAGTCGCGAAAAGTCAAAGGAGACTCCCACGATCTCATGACCTCTTCATGCGCGTCCGGGTAGAAAGGATTTGGGTTCGCCTCCCCCAAAAACCAATCATCGGCCTGTGCTCGGGACATGGTGGATGGTTCCACACAATCCCGATACTCACGGCGGCCCGGGAAAGCATAGCTGTCAACTCTGGATCTGACTCGTTATGCTAGCACACCCGAGGATGGCAGCACAGACGAGCCATCATCTCCAGAGGACTCCAGCTCACCTTGTGATGCGGCGATATACATGATTTCATCAGCCGGGGGACCGAATGAGACGAACTCACTCGGGACCACGCGGGTTGCAATGTGAAAGACGGGGTGTGGACCGAGGATATTTCGTCGGTTTAGTTCTAGACCTGCCGTCTTAGGTCACCCTGGCCACC